TTTCGGATACGACGAAGATTATCCATTTTCGATTGAATCCATTGGATATGGCACATGCTGAATTTAGAGAAATTGAGACGAATAGAAAACGAAAGAAGGTTTGTGTGAACATTGTTGTTGTTGTTGGCGTGATAGTCGCATGACAATGATAGTAACGCGAGTTTTTGCAATACTGTCAACGATATCAATAATTTTAATGATATTGATGAAATGATGGTTGATTTAAGTTGATCGGTCGATTCTAGGCTGACAGTTCACTTGACGATTTTGACGAACTGGACGCAAGTTCCAGCAAACGTTATCGTGAAGAGTTGCTGAAACAAACAACTGGTTTGTTCGCTGAATCTTCTTCAGAAAAATTATCTTCTGAATCGAAATATTTTCGTTGTTTTCAATAGTTTATAGAATTGGGCATGGTAGAGTCTATCGGACAATTTTCATTTCAGATTTGCAGTATCAACTTCACAAATTGGAGAAAGAGAAGGAGCGAGCGGTTAAAATTCAAAGTGATCTCATCAAGAAATATCGTGCAATCGTGACCGCATTGTCAGGTTTGCAGATCAAAATGAAGGGAGAAGATTTGGTGCAGGTGGAGAGTATCTTCGAGCCTGGACAATTCTTTGTTTTTAAAGTGAGAATATAATTATCTTTGCAAATCAATTGTTTGTACCTTAATTGTTTTCAGTGAATAGTTTCCTTTCGTTGAAAACAAATTGGAAGGGTAGAATGATTTGTAATGGTACTTGTAGATTATTTGTTGTTGTCACTATAATGCTCGTATGAAATGCTATGGAATGTAATCTTCGGATCGGAAAGATTTATGCAAATTTTTATCGACTTTTTCAATTTAATTGCTCGTAAAAATTTTTATTTGTTTCATTCCAATTGGAGAATGTTTCTGGAACACATTGAAAGTTGACGTTTCAGGTGGAAAATTGGGGCAAATCAATAAGTCTTCTGGAGACCGATTACGCGGCGAAATGGTCGAGTCAAATCGAAGAGTATCTGGGAGGTCGTAACTCAACACCAGCTTTTCTGGCTGCCGTCACACTGGCACTCGATGAGAAATCGCAGAGTGCAAGCAGTGTGCACTCATTCAATTTCTCTGATTGATCATCGTTTACTTATGGGGTGGAATGATTGTATTGTCTGTGTATATTGTATAAATTCAAATAGGTTTTCGTTGATCGCAACAATTCGGATGAATTTTCATTTCGTGACGGCTTTTTTGAGCTATTTTAACGCATCAGAAAAGCTTTTGGAGTACTCATAGTCATTATTTGTACATTTTCATCATTTGATGACAACAGAAGAATGTTTGTTTTCTTTTCGACAATTGAAGTTTCATTTCTACGAATTCCTATTTGAATCATTTTGTGGAAAATTGTCTAATTGGAATTTCGTCTGTCTTCTTTTCGAGATATATCCAGAAACCAGTTATAGCTCTTCCTTTATTGACTATAATGAGTTGTAGTACTTCTACAATACTTTCCTTCTTCAATTTCATTCTTGTCACTTAAGTTTTACCGTTGTTGTATATAATCGTTATTTGTACTTTCATTGCAACTTATAAATAAATTGTTCGAATTGTTCCTTTACTCCTTCCACATCTAGAACACGAACAGATGCAAGTATATTTCAAATTTTATGCCTAGTTGATTCAGATGTATGACTAAGTGGAGTTTCTTAGCCGTAGAATCTAAATGACAATGATCAGAGCAGGATATCGCGATGGATTTACGCTTAGGCTGCGATTCATATCGGGTAATCGTCGAGTTTTTAATAAATGCCGCATTCTAGCATGATATAATCGTCTAGCCCAAATGTGTGCGTTGATTATCGTCACTCGTAGTCTAATAAGATGTAAGTAAGCATCGATATAGAAGTGAAGTCGTTGTAAGAATTTTACTTTGATGAGACGACGAATTAAGTAAATAATAGTACGAAATTTACAAAAAAATAATAATGATAATACTCATGATCACGATGATGATAGTAATTATACTGTAATATACACAATTCAAAGTCAACACGAACGATATGATAAATAGTCAATGGATGCATGATGCATTGATATATAAACGGATTTTCAATACAATAATACTCATTCAAGTCATATATATATAATTCATTTTTTAAATATCAATTAACATTTCATCCAAATGTTTTATTCATCATCATATATAAATAAATTACATTCAAAGATATTCGATGAACTCTCAAAGAATAGCTTTCAGTTGATGGTATTATCAATTGTAGCACATACAAATTTGAACTGTTGAACTCAACCAGTCTTTTTACAATGAGCGACCAATGTTCAAAATGAGATGACCACTTGACTTCTGTGATCAATTTTCAAAAAAAAAAAAGAAACGTTAATCAAGAGACTCGTCGCTGATCGATCGGTCGTTGATCTCGTTCAATGATATGAATGGTTTTCAGAATGTGGGAATCTTAAAGCGCGATTAGTTTAAGAGTAAAGGTGATTGTTCCGGGATACAATTTGAATTGAAACGTTGAAACGTGCTTGCTCAATCCATGTTGTGCTATCAATGAATGATAGAGGTTGACGAACACTCGGTCACAAACAGATTCATCAATATTTGACGGTAATATTATGGTTTATAGGTATTAAAATGCAAATGAAACTATCATCATACAACATCTATTTATAAGGTGTGATGATCGCCGCATATAACTCGTTGAAGTTAGCCACGACAAAAATTCAAGCAGCATTCTGTGGTGGAGGAGAGACGATTCCATATTCAATGGTGTATGTTTGCTATTTGAGTGATTCACTTAGAATGTGATCATCAGAAGAAACTGCTGAGAATAACTAACATACTGTGAGCATAACCAGTAGTGAGATGGTTCATAGCGCATATTTTGAGCACAATTCGGTTTCTGTCTGCCAAAATTCCCAGCAGAAGCAACATAAAAAATTCTCCTAAACTAATCACCCGATCCATAAAAGTTGTGAGTGGTTTTATCCAAATTTTTTGTCGCCTCATAAAGTTTTTCCGATCAAAATCGCCTCATAAAAACACCTCTCCACAGTGTTTGTTGTTGCTGAGATATATTGTGTGCAATTATTTCGGTATGTTCGCATGAATTTGTTTCTGTAGCCTATCGAGTTCAGCTTTCGTCACCTGATGTGCGCCACGTTCCTGAAAACTCGAATCTGCAAAGCTGATCTATCTGATCAAAGAACTTTTGACTGCTTTGACTAGTAAATGAATTCCAGGTGATTTTTGTTCAAGAAAAGGAAGACTTTACAATAGGCATTCGTTATTTGTTTGTTTGCTGATGTCGAAATAATGTTTCTCGACTGCTGAGAACTGCTGATTTGAAGCTGAATCTGAATCTGATTAAAAACTGATCGAACAGACTATCGAAAACTTGACGGTTCGGAGGTTGTTCTTCAAAAAAAAGGATATATGATATTCATCAGTGCGGCAATCTACGATGCCGTAGGTATCATCGCCGTAGCAAACAACTACCTTTTTCAATTCGGATCGCAACGTCTCAACGAGCACTTGTAATTCTTGCTTCTCTTCGATTGCCTTCTGAAGTTGTCGTTGGCAATTACACAACTCACTGTTGTCTAAAATACTTCGAAGCATCTCCTGCAAAATGCAAATTACTCATCTTTTACGTTGCATCGTTAAATTCATTCTCTATGTGCATTTACATTTGCATTTATTCATTATGCAGATCATTGATTATTTGCAGTCCATTGCACCTGAAACTACATGTAATAAACATTTATCAAGCCTTTAATCTGAGTCAGCCAATCGCAATATGTTAGTAATACCTGCTTGAAATCGCCTTCTTCTGAACAATTCAACATCTTTTCGGATTGAGCTCTCAGGAGTTCAGGTACCTGCAAGCAATGAACAAATCCGATCAAATCGCACGAAAATCATTCGCATACTATGGCATTCATCTGATATAGACACCTATCTCATAGCATATGAATAATGATTTTGTTGTGGTCGCCGTTATCACATCAACAACATCAACGAATCTGTAAGACAAGACAAATTACTGAAGCTTACATTGAAAGGACTCTGAATCAATTCAGACAAGTAGTCATGCGCCGATCCACTCAGTCGTTTCGATCTGCACGATCGGGTGTTAACCGCATTCGATGTACACCTGAAAATGTACATCTTCCATTATTTGTATTAGTCGTCAGCGAAATTGAATTATGTCATCTGTAGCCTTTAACAGGCACCAGCTCAAGACGCTTGATTATATTCATATAAAACGCTTCCTTTAGAAGAAATCTAACTGAATGATCTACAATAGATCAAATTTTGCACTTCAAATTTGTTGGTAATGGCTGCAGCAGATTGTAGTTGATTTGTGACCGGTCATTCTGATGTTGGTTCAATACCGAGAAAGTTTGGTTTCTTCGGATTTTCAGTAGAGATTCAAATTGAATCTATCTATCATAAATGATGTGCAATCACATCATATTGAACACAACAATTGGATGAAATGAATGAATGAATGAAGTTTCACATACTGAACGCATGTGGCACCACTAGCAGTGGATTGCTGTTGATCACTTGTTTGGCGTCGTCGTGGACTCAAAATACGTGCTGCTGAATTCAACTGAAATCATTAAGCATAGTTTAGCTGAAGCAAAAACTTGTTTGCTCTGGAAGAAACCCGTTTGAAAGGGCTCAATTGCAAGCACTTACTTGAACGTTCCTAACTGATTTCAGTGTGCGTTGCTCAAATAATCCACCACCAGCAGCAGCACCAGCACGAGCACTCGTCGTTTGCACGTTCCATTCATTCGGCAACATCATTTGTTTTTGGCCACTCAGATTTGTGCTTTTGAAAAGGTCCTGATAGCTGCAAATGAGATTGCACTTGCTAAAAGGTAGGTAGTTAGGTGACTGATGAGGTAAGTCAGCAAATTCAATCAAAATCAGCAGTAGCAGAATGTCGTAACAGGAAGCAAATTCTAAAGCATATCTATTGAGCTAGGCGAGAGTAGTTAAGTGATTGGAGTGAAGTGAGGAAGCAACCTTTTCGGTTGCTTAGCAAACGAATCCGGTGTCAACATGAAACTGTCGTGTCCTTTNAGCATATGTATTGAGCTAGGCGAGAGTAGTTAAGTGATTGGTGCGAAGTGAGGAAGCAACCTTTTCGGTTGCTTAGCAAACGAATCCGGTGTCAACATGAAACTGTCGTGTCCTTTCACAGCCGGGCAATGCGGGTCTTCACAGCCACGTCTCGGTGAGCCGTCTTGAGCTGGTGAAATCATCATCAATCGCAGAGTGGTTTGTTGCGTGAGGATTTGAAGCATCTCGTCATGACTGAGCGTAATCACTGGTTGTCCATCAATCTGAACGCAAAATGCTCATTCAACGAGTCGTCGTTGCCAAGCTGTTTCATTTTCGCCTTATTGCAGTAGTCATTTGCATTGAACAAAAGCATTGAG